TAAAATCTAAAATATAGTTTTGTTTGTAATGAAACAAAGTCAAATAAATTTTCAAATGACAAAGCGCAACTAATACCTGACAGTTCGCCCCAAGTAAACTTGGAGTTAGGACTAGGGTGTGTCCTGTAAGGTAGTGGTGGGTGGGACACAGGCCACGCCCTAGATTGCCAAAAAATGACAAACAATTAAAAAAAAATGATCAAATATAATCTAAAATATAGTTCCCTTTCGTAGTCACTTCGAGTTACGTCAGAAGTGATGGAGATTGGGGGTTTCGCATAGAAAGCCAATCCTCATCGAGTATTTAATCACGAGCCAATGGCATGCAATGCCTTGGGGCTGCGGAAATTTGCATAGCGTACTCCGCCCTACTCCGTGATTATAAAAGGAGGAAGTGAACGCAACCGCAGTATGTTTTCGCTTTGGAGCCAAGAGATTTCTTCACTCCTCAAGCCATTCTCACTGATTCAAGACTCTTCGAGACTGGCGTCCTCTTCAGTGTTGGTGTGACGGCGGTACCCAGCGAGACTCTGCATTGCCTGCGATCTGAGCAGTGGTCTGCCAGACTTTGCGCTTCTCCCTGGTCGCCTCAGCGCTGAAAGAGTGAATTTCCTCCTCTCTAGTGAAAGAGCTGCACGCGGCACGTCTTTTTAAAGACGATTCGCCCGTGTTCTTCTGGGTGCGATCGATTCATGTCATTTTCTGATGGCCACGATCGCTGCTCTGTGTGCCTGGGCTTTCAGCATGCAGTAGCAGCATTCGTGGATGACTCATGTTCCTTCTGTGGGAACATGAGCATCTCTACACTGTGATCTAGGCTGATAAAGTGAGAGTCCCCTTGTCCGTTACTCGTTCTGCTTCTTCTTCTAGAAGCTCTTCGACTCGCGGACAGGGTGATATGATGGTGATTGTGTGGCACAACCCCCGACGCTAGTCTCAGTGTTAGAGCCAGTGAGCGCTGTATTGCTTCAGGCGTCTGCCTCTTTGCAGGTACCGTCTGTTTCATTCAGCGCTCCAGAGGATGATGCGATGTCGATCGCACCATCACAAGGCGGGCTTGACTCCTCCGGAAGTGAGGATGCGGCTGCGTTGCCTCCCTCGGGAGCGTCAACGTCGCCATGTCTGATCCCGCGATGACGGCCATGCTATCTCGGGCCTCCGTGAGCATCGGGTGGGAGTGGAACTCCGCCCTGTCCCGATCTCAGGGGGCTGGATAATTGGTTTTTGGGTAACGCTGCCGCCTCTCGGCCACAGCCAACCCCAATTTCCTTTTTCCCCGAGTTGCATGCGGAACTGACACACACTTGGGTGTCCCCCCGAGAGCGTGCTTCAGTTTCCCCGCCTTTCCTCCCCTCGGCGACGCGGTTGCCTGTGGGTACGCTGGGACTCCCCCGGTGGAGCGCTCTGTTGCGATGCAGCTGCGTCCGCAGAGCGCGTCCTCCCGCGGTGCTCCCAGATGCCCATCCAAAGCCTATAGGTTCTCGTCGTCTATGGCGGCGCGATCCTGTAGAGCGGCGGGACAGGCAGCCTCCGCCCTGCATATGATGAGCACCTGCTAGCTGCTCAGGAATGTGCACGAGGAGGGGACGGACCAAGCGAGCTGCGAGCCTGCCGCCGACCTTGCTCTCAAACGGGCGACGGAAGCGGACCGCTCGCTCCCTTGGTCAGGTGATGCCCACCACTGTGGTCCAGGAGCATCATCTAAATGTTTCAGCGGTGCGGTCCAGGACTTTGCCCAGCACTTCTCGACCGCCTAGGAGCAGACGGAGGCGGGTTTACACTTCTGCCCAGACGGCCAGCTGCTGCCTCCACCCAGTCGTCGGCTCAGACGCCTCTGCCCGCTCGCCGCCGAGGACGCCCCCCTGCGGCTCCCTTCCCTCCCACGCGGCCCCAGCAGCAGCCTTCAGCCAGTTCGCGTCGTGGAGGAGGCCACAGGTAAGCATCACAGCCCCCTCAGGCCGCGTGCCCCACTAACGCCAGGCGAAGCGATGTTCCTGAGACGGGCTGCTCAGTGATAGTGTCACGTTTTTTCACAGGAGGCGGTAGCAGGGCCCCTCCTTCCCCCGGTGGAGGGCCGGTGGAGAATCTTTTGTTCTAGCTAGCTCCTCCTTCAACCGCCTTGAGCTGGTTGAAGAAAAACTGACACTATCATTGAGCACACAGACTGGAATGAGCGCGCACGACGTCCCAGTGCGTCGCCCCGCTCATTCCTCTCTGTCTCTGAGGGTGCGGATGGGAGCATGTGTCGTCCCTCGACTACACCACTCCCCTCCCCCTCTATTGCCAGACCCCCGTGGAACGCTGGTCCTTCCCTGGTCTCTTCTGTCGGGGAACGGGGCTCGACTGTGCATCCGCACGGGGGTAACTCCTGTGCGCATGCCGGTCTCCCTGTACCGCTGCCCTCCGGGGGCGTCTGTGGTTCGCATGCAGGGGTGGTTCTACAGGGGGCAAGGGGGGCAGGTGCCCCCCCACTCTAGAGCCTTGCCCCTAGCTGCCCCCCTAACTTTGATGATCCAAAAAAAAAATTACTTGTAAAAATAACCTGCCATTCCACACGCTTCTTCAAAATAGTGAAATAAACAATACATTTAC